CCCTCACCTAAATTCTCCTGCTGTGACACCCAATGAATACCTGTACAGGGAGGTTTCTAGATCAGAATCACAGCCCATCACCCCCTCTGGTCTGAGTTCTCACTCCAGTGTGAACCTTGGGAGCAAGAATTCCTGAAATAAGTGATCCAAGGATTGTGCATCTGTGTGTTTCCATGGAAATGCTTGATGAATAAGTTTTAAACACATGGCAGGATCCCTGTTCACCATTAAGGCTGAGGAACAGCCACATATTGTTAGCGCCTTTGCCACAAAACACTTTGACTAATTATATTTTTACTTGGTATCAACCCAATTAGCTTATGCTGTTTATTTCATTTAATTTTCCTTTCGGTTATATAATGGCTGTCATGGTTCCAGGAACAGAGGAGTGAATAGCAGCTATCTCACTTGAGAGCTATTTTTACTCTATCCGCTTTTCTTCATGACAAAAATATATACATATTATTAATCTGTACTGAAAAAAAAAAAAAAAGTACTTCTTCTGAATGCTTCCCCCTCTCCCAGTAAACACAATGTTTGTTGAACATAATGGCCAGGTAGCAATACCATGCCAATTTAGGCAAATTTAGAGTATTCTGTTCAAATTATTTGTTTCAGTGAATCCCTTAGGCAAATGCATACAACACGTATGAGATTTCAGTGACTCGTTTCATTTTACAGCAAATGACAAGGAGTTCTCCTAAATAAGTCCCAGAATAGTTCACTTGTGTTTCATCATAGCAGTATGTACTGCTATGGCTATATTAGTAAATTAAATGTGCCCAGGCTTATTCTTTAGCATGGAAGGTAAATGGAGTGATACAGCCCACACTTGAATTATTGAACTCCCGTTGTTTTCAAAGCAGGGTAGTCTCATACAATCTGCTCATTGGGAATAGTCTGTGTCCCATGCTAACCCCTGAAAAGTAGCCAGGAATTGTGTGTACTCAGTTCTGCACTGGTAAAAACCATGCCAGGGGCTTTTCTAGGAATTTTACCATCAAAGGAATTGGGTGCCAGTGCTCAGGAACATTTTATTTTCTAGTAAAGATGCAACCAGTGGTGGTGTCCTGGTCTTGTCTATTCCAGAACAGCACTGGAAAAGCACAACCCAGTATTGCCAAGTGCATATTTTTATTTGGAGTCTGTAGGATAATATGAATCCTGTGTCAACATCAAACTAAAAGCTGTACAAGAGATGCTCTCACGACCTTTATGGCTGTAAACCTAATTTATTGCTATAATCCCTAAGCAATCATTTTATCATTAGCAATGTGATTTTTTTGTACTTTAGGAGTTCTTCAAATGTCTTGTCATGGTACTTTACAAATACAAAGCAAGCGGAGGCATGTAAAGGGCATACTTGTCTAATTTACATACTCATAGCCTATTTTGATCACACCCTGTATTAGAGTTGTAGGATGACCTACAAAATATGTAGTTTCCACAGAGAACATTAAAAATTATAGCTGACCTTTTCATAACAGAAACTGACATAGAGAATTTATTACTAATTTTATCTCTTGTAACATAGTCGTGAACAGTTTGTATGCAAATTTATTGATAATTCACTTTATTCAATAAATCATTTATAATCTACATGGGCTTTATTGCACATATACAAATGTCAAACAAACTTCATTTTGGCTGTGATTTCTGTCTGCATGCAGGTCTTTCCTCACTTTCCTAATAGGATAAGGGCAACTTTAAAGTTAAGCAGATGTTTGCATTTGTAAGGTCCAAGCTTGTC